CAGAGGGTAAAACCAGGCTGCTTCTCGGAGGCAAGGATTCTGAATCTTTGTCTGACATATTTTGGTCAAGTTGTAAAGGGGGACCCTTGGAGAGGGACATCATTCTAGGGAGAGTGGAGGGACAGTGTAGGAGAGGAATACCCTCCATGTGATGGATTGATTCAGTGACTGGGGTAATGGGAGTAGGTGTATGGGAGAAAAGGAGATGGCACAGGATAGAGCAGGGTTTAGGGCTATTGTACATTGGGTTGCTATGAGTCGAAGGCAACTCAGCCTTCTGCTCTAATGGTCCTTTTGTGACTGACTTATTTTAGTGTAAAGTCCACTAGCTCCAACAATGTTACACAGTTTTTTATGAATTCTTCATTGTTTTTTAGTGTTACATAGTACTCTATTTTGGGAATATATCATTGTTTCCTTATTCTTTTGTCTTTTTTTTTAAGTAATGACTTTTTTATTCAGTATTTTAAAAGTACATCAATTTTTGGCAATTACAAATAAATACCTATTATATTAATAAAATGTCTATTTTGTATTTAAAATGTCTATTTGTGCTTCAGTTCTCATTTTCTCAGGGTATATTCCAAGCAATCGAAAAGCTGGGTCATATGGAATTTCTATGTTCAGCTTTTGAGGAAATGCCAAACTGCCTTCCAAAGTGGTTGTATCATTTTATAATCCCACTAACAATGTGTAAGAGTTCCTATCTTGCCACAGCCTCTCCAACATTTGTTACTTGCTGTCCTGATAAACTTTTCCACTGCTACTGGAGTAAGACGGTATCTCATTGTAGTTGTCATTTGCATCTCTCATATTACCAGAGACTTTGAGCATTTTTTCATGTGTCTGTTGGCCATCTGAATATCTTCCTCTGTGGAAATTCATTCCATGTTTTTTGCTCATTTTATACTTGTGTTATCAGTCTTTTGCTTGCGGAGTCCCTGTTGTGTTGTTCTTATTATGTGCTGTCGAGTCATTTGTGACTCATAGTGACCCAAAGTACAACAGTTCTGAACCTTGCTCTATCCTGAGTCAACCTTATTGTCTCCAACTCTCCTACCCCCGTTACTCCAGTTAGTCAGTCAATCTAGCTTATCTAGGGTCTGCCTCTCCTGTGCTGTCCCTCCATCCTCCCAAGCATAATCTCCCTCTTCAAGGACTGGTCCCTCCTTGCAACATGTTCGAAGTAAGTCAGATGGATCTTCAGAATCTTCCAAGGATTCTCCAAGGAGCAGCCTAGTTTCACCCTCTCCAGGACAAATCTGTTTGTTCTCTTAGCAGTCCATAGTATATTCAATACTCTTTTCCAACACCACAGCTCAAAGGCTTCAATTCTCCTATCATCCCTAGTCATTGTCCAGCTTTCTAATGCATAGCATGTAATTGCTTGGACCAGGCACACTTGAGTCTTCATATTGACATCATTGTTCTTCAGTACTCTGGAGAGGTTACTGACAGCAGCCTTTCCCAATGTAATTCAACTTCTGATTTCCTGGTTGCTTGTACCAGGAGTGCTGACTGTAGATCCAAGCAAACTAAAGCTGTTAACAATCTCAATCTCTTCATCATCTATCATGATGTTACTAATCAACCCAGTGGTGAGAATCTTTGTTTTCTTGATGTTGAATTTCAATCTATACTGCAGGCTGCAGTCCTTGACCTTCTGCAACAAGTACTTCAGGTCCTCCTCAGTTTCAGCAAGCAGGGGTGTGCCATCTGGATAACGGAGGTTGTTGATAAGTCTTTCTCCAATCCTGATACACTGTAGGATTTTATAAACTTTTTATATGAGACCCTTGTCTTAAATGGTATTGCCAAATGTTTTATTCCTGATCAGTAGGTTTTATTTTCATTTTGTTGGGAAAAGTTTTTAATGTGCACAGGGATTTAATCTTTAGAAGGTTTCATTCATCCATGTTATCCTCTCTAGATTGTGTATTTCTGGCTGTATTTGATAGTCTCTTTATACCATAAACTAGGCCGTTTAAGCTTGATCCCAGTTTGTCTCTGTTGAACATTATGGTTCTGGGCTTTCCTCCCAGGTCTCTGATCTGTCTTGAGTTGATTTTTGTGTATGGTGTGAGATGTGGATCCTGTTTCAGCTTTCTGCAGGTAGCAGTCCAGTATTGCCAGTACCATTTGTTGAAGAGGTTGTCATTTCCCCACTTAATATGTTCTATTTCCTTGTCAAATATGAGCTGATCATAGATAGATCGATCCATTTCTGGGTTCTCAATTATCTTCCATTGGTCTATGTGCCTGTCATTGTATCAATACCACACTGTTTTGCTTACGACTGCTGTGTAATAGGTTTTGAGGTCAGGGAGTGCTATGACTGCCACTTCATTTTTGTTTTTCAGAAGTGATTTGCTTAGTCAGGGTCTCTTTCTTCTTTAAATAAACTTGACAATTTTCCTTTCTAGCTCTTTGAAAAATAAATTTGGTATTTGCATTGGGATTGCACTGAACATGTAGAAAACTTTTGGTAGGATTATTATTTTCACAATATTGAATCTTCCTATCCATGGACAGGTCACATTTTCCCACTTCTTTAGGTTTATTGTGTCTTGTAGAAATAATAAAAGTTGAATTCGTATTCATTCATTGTACAATTTCTTACCTCTCCTTCTTCCCCTTCCCCAGTCTACTTTGCAATGCACCTCTTATTCTGGACTACTGTTATGCAAATAATGCCTAATCACATTATTTATCCCCTTTTTTCCTATTCTCCCCTGATCCCCACATCAGTAATGTTTCATAACAGTGGTGTTATGCAGTATTTGTCCTTTTGTAACTGAGATATTTCACTCAGAATAAGATCCTGAATCCTCCAGAGTCACAGAGTCTATCCTTTTTCTCCTGATGAATATTTATATTGCTTTCATCTCTTTGCTATCTTTTTCAGTAAATAATGTTGCAACAAACATGGATGTGTATGTGTCTGTTCATGTCACAGTTTTTATTTCCTTGTGGTGGAGACCTGGTAGTGGAGTTTTAGGAGCTCAGTTGGTTTAGTGGTAAGAAGCTGTGCTGTGATTCCCAAAGACATGTGGTTCCAATCTACCAACTGCTCCACTGAAGAAGGATATGCAATCTCCTCTCATGCCATTAACTGCCTCTGACAACCTTCTGGAGGTTCAGCTAGGAGTTCTGACTCAGTAGCAAACAACAACAATAACAGTACGGTTATCGAATCAAATGGTATTTCCATTCCCAACTTTCTAAGGAAACATCAAACTACATTTCATAGTAGCTTTAAATACCTGGGACAAACATGATTTCTTCTTTCTTACATTTGTATAAATTTTTAAAAATGAAATTTTAATGTGCTTCTATGTGGTTTTTTCATGCATGGTATTATGCATGCGTCAAAATTCACTGGATTGTACAATACTTAGTTATTGTTGTTAGATGTTGTCAAGTTGACTGTGATTCACAGTGACCATATAAACAGATCCTTAACTCTATCCTGTGATTCCCTCACAAACTCTGATATGTTCAAGTCCTTTGATGTAGTCACTATGTCAATCCACATCATTCAAGGTCTTGCTCTCTTTTGATGACCCTCTATTTCCCAGCATGACATCTTTTCCCAAAGACTGGGCATGCCTAACAAAATGCCCAAAGCGTGTGAGATGAAGTTTCACTATCCTTGCCTCAAAGGACCATTCTGGTTGCACTCATCCAAGTCAGATTTGTGGTTTTTTGTTTGTTGTGTCTTAATTTTTTTTTTTTCAGCAGTCCATGGAATATTTAGTACTCTTCTCTAATACCATGGTTTCAGCTGATGTATGTGAGGGAAAAAAAAAAGGGAAACACGATGGCTTGCATCAAGTGTACCTTAATCTTTAATCTGACATCTTTGCTCTTTAGCACTTTAAAGAGATTCTTGATGGTCGATTTTCTCAAGAAGACACATCTTTTGATTTCATGACTGCTGCCACCCTGGGTGTTGACTGTGGGTTCAAGTAAAATGAAATAATTGATAACTTCATTTTTTTTCTCCATCTATTGTGACATTGCCTATTGGTCCAGTGGTGAGAAATTTTGTTTTCTTAGTATTTAGATATAATCCATATTGAAGGATGTAATCCTTTTTTTTTTTCTTCAGTAAGTACTTTAAGTCTTCTTCACTTTATGCAAGCAAGGACGTATCATCAAGCAAGGTAATACTGTATAGTTTAAAATGAGGGAAAGTGTGCATTGAGATTGTTTCCTTTCTTCATATCAATTCAATCTGTACACTTAGCAAACAATTCAAGAAGTATTTTATGTGAAGAAATTGTGTCATCAAGTTTGGAGGAAGAGTCATCAACAACCTATATTATAAAAATCAAATCACATGACCTTGCAATACAAAGAGTGAGCCCTAATGTGAACTATCAATCTTAATAATAATAATTTAAAAATCAATATTGCTTCATCACTTCCTCACAAGTACATTACTCCAATGGAAAATATTAATAAAAGAAATTGTGTTTCGAGGATATTTTATGTGCCATCACATAAAAAGAGTCAGAGTAGGAACTGACCCTCCAACAGGTTTCCAGAGTCTGTGAATCACACAGGAACGTATTGTCCTTCTTTACCCATGAAGCCAATGATGGATTTAAACCACATGTCTTTGTGTTAACAGGGAAACTGCTTATCATTACGCCATCATAACTCTTTGGGATGCAGATGGTATACAGGGATTGCACTTTCCAATTCTTTTATAAACCTAAATTTTCCTCTAAAAAATAAAGTCCAATTTGAAAAAACAGAAAAATATAAATTTTAAAGGATAGAGCATGGTTGATTCTAATTAATAGTGTATTTGAAAATGGGTATAAATAGTCTTTATTAACTTTATTACTTTTATCATGAAATTTTAATAATGAAATTCATAACTAATGAAAAATCAATGGCTCTGTTATATTTATTTCCAAACAGGTTTAACTTTTATCTGATGATATGTTCTACAAAGTTGAGGGGTTTAGAAAAAATATCTTGTTACTTACATTTCCTGTTGAAGTCTGTCATACTGCCTACAGGAATTTCAGCTGCCTGTGAATCTTCTGGGCTTTTCTATTTAAAATTAAAAGATAACTTATTAAATGAGCGTTAGTCATCTTCTTGTTGCAAAACAGAACCTCTGAAGTGTTATGTTGGATTTTAAAAGGTTCTATTAATGGTGCTTATTACACACTGCCATAGAGTCAATCGATTTTAGCTCATAAGGACCATGTTAGAACAGATTAGAACGGCATCAGCCTGCCAAGCCTGCCATCTTTCCAGAGGCGAGCCCTGATGACGCAGTGTTTAAATACTTGACAGTTTGGTCAGCAGTCCAAACCCACCAACAGTTCCACAGGAGAAAAGACATGGTTGTCTGCTCCTGTGAGGATTATAGCCTAGGAAACCCTGGAGGACAGTTCTCTCTCTCGTAGGGTTGCGATGAGTCACAACTGACTCCACAGCACACAACAGCCTTTACAGAAGCAGACTACCACATTTTTCTCCAGCAGAACAGCTGAAGGCTTTAAACCACTGACATCTCAGATAAGGGGCAAGCGCTTAACCACTGGACCACCAGGACTCCTTAGATCAAACTGTAAACCAAACCCACTCACTGCTATGGAACTGGTTGCAATTCACAGTGGCTCTATAAATTTGAGTGGAACTGCCACATGCCGCTTTTAAGAATGCACATTTTTTTAAAATTTAGGTTGTTTATTTTTCATTTCAATGAACATCTACAGAGATTTTGGAATTCCATTCATTCATTGTTGCACCCTTCTCCC